TACATTTTATGAAAAGGAAAAAATGAATCCAGAAAAATAGATCCAGGACTTCTACAGAGCTTCCTCCATCCTCTGGAACTCTCTACCCCAATTTATCAGACTATCGCCTACTCTGCTCACTTGTAGGCGATCTCTTCAGGGAAGCCTATCCTGCCTTCAGCTAATAATGGAATCTTCTATTCCTCCTACCAGTCCATCCCCCACAGTTATTACCTTTTGTACCACTAGCCCCTCCCTCTTAGATTGTAAGCTCCAAGAAGCAGGACCTTCCTATCCCTCTTGTATTGAACTGTATTGTTGCTGTACTGTCTCCGGTTAGATTGTAAAGCGCTGAGCAAACTGTTGGCAATATATAAATCCTGTTTTATATATATATATATATATATATATATATATATATATATATATATATACACACACACACACACATAAATAAATATGTATATATATGTGTGTGTGTAAATAAAACAAAAAACAAAAAATTAAAATGTAAGAAAGTAAATAAAAAAAAAAACATTAAAGCACTCCACTACACCACACACATACGTCTGAATACAATGATGCAAGTGGAAGCAGTCATTATATTAAAATACATGAAAAAGAAAAAAAAAAGGTTAAAAAAATACCCATCTTTACATTTGCTTTATCCAGGCGTTTTTTTTGTTGTTGTTGTTGGGGGTAACTAATAAGCAGACCTTGAATTTTATTCCAAGATCTACTTTAATAATTCTATATTTTTGATAGACACAGTCTGATATTTAATCTATTACAATAATTTTAATGATCATTTAAAGTATGTTTAATATTTTCTGAAGATAAGCATATAAATATCATTTTTATCATATTATTATTATTATTATTTTACTATTAGAAATGATTATTTTTTATTTTAGATTATATTATTAATATTTTAATAAAGATTTTATTACTTTAATTTTAGTTTTATTCTTATTTCAATAATGTAAAGAACTAGTACATTAAAAATTTTTTTTTTTTTTAAGAAAGGTTCATAACGGTTTGTGTCCTCAGCCCCCATCGTAATCTTTTTCCTAAATGTCTTTTTTCACCCCAATTATGGTGTCCTTTTTTTGGAAATGTCACTAGATATCACACCTACAATTGTATTTTTTTCCACACTGGCTGACAGATCAGGAATTGTTCATATGGTTGCCATGCCAACTAACTGCCGCAATCAGGGAGAGGCACCCACTGTTCTACCCTAGATCGAAGGATGGAAAGATTTATTTTATTTATGTGTGTTCACATCATACTTTTATTACATATTTTATGTTCTCTCCAGTGGATTTTTTTTCTTCTACCATCAAAAGAGATTTAGACCTTGGACAGTGAATGCTGGACACACACGTCAATCAGAAAAGAGATACAAAGCCATCAAATAATCCCAGGAAATCCTAATGTTCCATATTTTTCCGGTGGCCGAAGTAGTTCCTTAAAGGCTAACCACTTTAAAAAAAATAGCAAATACAAAAAAAGTAATAAAACATATACAATTGCTACACAAGCCATGTTGTTATTTAATGTTAATAAAAATGACCTTTCCTTTTCAATTTGCAGAGCTGTATTTTTTTTTTTTAATCCAATGGAATCCTGAAGGTTTGTTTTTTTTTTTTTTACACAGATGGTATACAGAACACCCCCTGGAAATGACATTTCCTGCTTGTGTGATTGGTTTACTAATCTTCTACAGTAAGATACAAGTCAGATTTTAGGCACACCTTGTAACATACATTTTTGTTTTGGTAGATACATGCCAAGAGTTAAAAACTTCTAAAGGGATGCGGACACTGCAGCTTTCCTCATTAGAACACTGAGAGTGCACCAGGTGATTATAATGAACCAGACCCTCCCATTCCGCAAGGATATTGTGACACAAACAGTTATCTCTTCAGAGAAAGGTAGACATCTGCAACAAAGGTTGTTAAAATCCTTGCAATTTGTCTCAACAGAAGTGGTTATTCTCAGAGGCGGTTCTCTCGTCCTGGGAGGACGACATATGACGTCCTCCCACTCTAACCGCGCATGCGCGGGCTCCGAGAGCTGCGCAGTGTGGCGTTCGGTGGTGCACTGTGTCCCTTGGTCACAGCAGATCACCGATGAACGGATAGAGCCGAAGACGTCGGCTCAGTCATGTGATCAGCTGTGTCCAATCACAGCTGATCGCATGTAAATAGGGAAATGCTGGTTATCGGCATTTGTCTGCTTATGAGCTGTCACGCTGACAGCTCAAGAGGAGAGGAGAGCCAGTAATCGGCATTACTCAGAGGGGACATGTACACTGATCATCAGGGCACTGGTGATCAGTGTGCCCTGATGATCAGTGTAGCCCCATCAGTGCCACCTGTCAGTGTCCGTCAGTGCTCATCAATGCCACCTGCCAGTGCCCATCAGTGCCACATCAATGCCACACATCAGTGCCTACCAGTGTACATCAATGCCACATATCAGTGCCCATCTGAGCTGCCTTTCAGTGTCAGTCAGTGCCACCTATCAATGCCTGTCAATGCCCATCAGTGCCACCTACCAGTGCCTCCTCATCAGTGCAGCCTATCAGGGCCCATCACTACAGCCTCATTAGTGCACATCAGTGAAGGAGAAAAATCACGTATTTACAAACTTTTATAACAAAAACTAAGAAAAATCTTTTTGTTTTTCAAAATTTTCAATTGTTTTTGGTTTGTTTAGCAAAAAATAAAAACCCAGAGGTGATTAAATACCACCAAAAGAAAGCTCTGTCTTAAAAAAAAAAATGATAAAAATTTCATATGGGTACAATATTGCATGACCGTGCAGTTCTCGTTGAAAGTGTGACATCGCTGAAAGCTGAAAATTGGCCTGGGCAGGAAGGGGGTATAAGTGCCCGGTAGGCAAGGGGTTAAAGGGAAACTGTACCTGAAAGTTGGGGCTTCTATGTACGTCTTCAGGGTTAGCGACAGAAATATTAAAACATGGATCAACATAACAGCATTTTCAAAAGGAGTTCGGGAATGACATCCTATCTACTAAATCCAACATCAAAAATGAATATACTGCAGTTTATCAAGTCTAGAAGTGATGGCTGCATTATTTTTCTATTTTTACCTGGTGAGTAACAAACTTTCAGCCCCTTTAGGTTAATGTTTTCTTTTCTCCGCTGTATCTCTAGGGCCAGCCAGACAGGCTGGACATCAAGGATCTAAAGACAAATGCAACCACCACCTGACCTAATACAGCATTGTGTGGGAATACCCAGCTAATGGTGATGAGACAGAAGTAGCCAGCACTCCATCATAGACCTCAGGGAAGTATTGAGGTCAAAGTAATATAAATAACAGAAAAGGTGCAAAAATAAACATCCTCTATCATCCTTGTGGTTTTTTGAACCTTCTTTGTTCTCTGTCTTGCTTTGACCCCAATTGTTTCCTGAGGTCTGTGATGTCGTTTTTTTGGATGTCAAACATGTCTGTCTTTGTTCATCTCCATTCCATGGTTGATTAGTAGTTTACTTAACAAAAATCAGGTTCTTTGTGCTTTCTATTAAGCTCACAAGCGGTGACAAGGACTCTGCATTTCTACTTATTTTCTGGATTAGCTGAAAATGTTTTAGCCTGAAAAAAGAAAACTAATGCACCCACTGCATCTAAAGACAGATATTTATTTTATTTATTTCAGGTACTTATATAGTGCCGTCAATTTACGCAGCACTTTACATATATATTGTACATTCACATCAGTCCCTAACCCTCAAGGAACATACAATCTAAGGTCCCTAACTCACATTCATACATACACATACTAGGGCCAATTTAAACAGGATCCAATTAACCTACCAGCATGTCTTTGGAGTGTGGGAGGAAACCGGAGTGTGGGAGGAAACCAGAGTGCCTGGAGGAAACCCACGCAGGCACAGGGAGAACATGCAAACTCCAGGCAGGTGGTGCTGTGGCTGGGATTTGAACCAACGACCCTAGTGCTGCCAGGCGGAAGTGCTAACCATTTAGCCACTGTGCTGCCCAGATACACAGTGCTCAGCATAAATGAGTACATCCCAACAGATTTGTCAGAAAACCTTTACTTTCTTTTCAGAATCAATATTTTCTATGGGACACTATACTACAAAATACTCCCACAAATGTGGTCCATTGATTGCAAACAAGATTTGTAGATTTGCACACACAAAAGAGTATTTTTCCTAACAAATTCATTCAAGACCATGTTGCAAAATTGAATACACCCCAATTAAAGTCTAATGCAGGCCATAGACAGAAATCGGCTGATTTTCACACCGTTAGTGGGTTAATTGGTCTGCAATTTTTCGGCACATTTTTTTGTATTGGTAAAGTTAGAAAATTTGTGGCCGATTTTGACGATCGGCTGATTTTCCCATCAAATCAACCGATCGTTTTTACCGATAAAAAAAATCGAGGAGGAGGAGGAGGAGGAGAATTCCAGTCCGCTATTATATTTTACATGAAGTCTTGTGGTTGCAACAATGTATCTATTTGTATCTGAATAAAACCATCTGTATCCAAAATAGATACATTGTTGCAACCGCAAGACTTTTCATGTAAAATATAATAGCGGAGCTCTTTGCAAGGGACAGAAGTAAAAATGCCGGCCGTAGACGGGAGGAAAATTGGCTGATTTTTTTACCATTGGTGGTAACGCCGGCCTATTGATTTTTTTTTTTTTTAAACGGCAGGTTTTTGACTGGTCTATGGCCTGTATTAGGAGCAAAGCTAAATTTTAGACAACAAAATCCTAATTAACACGAATTCTACTACAGGGGAGTCTAATTATTCATTAATCAGGTGTGCAGCAAACAGTTGATTATAAAAGGGCTACTTTTATAATCACAAAGAAAACCTCTTCCCATTTCATGCTGTCAGCAATGTCACCACATGGAAGAGAAATGTCACAGGGCCTGAGAAAGAAAATAATTTATTTATATAAGAAAGGTGAAGGATATAAGAAAGGTGAAGGCTATAAGAAGATCAGCAAAGCTGTCAGACCCTACATTCACTATATCTGGTCTCTCCGGACCCTGCATTCACTATACCTGGTCTCCCAGGACCCTGCACTCACTATATCTGGTCTCCCCGGACCCTGCATTCACTATATCTGGTCTCCCCGGACCCTGCATTCACTATATCTGGTCTCTGCGGACCCTGCATTCACTATATCTGGTCTCCCCGGACCCTGCATTCACTATACCTGGTCTCCCAGGACCCTGCACTCACTATATCTGGTCTCCCCGGACTCTGCATTCACTATATCTGGTCTCCCCGGACCCTGCACTCACTATATCCGGTCTCCCCGGACCCTGAACTCACTATATCTGGTCTCCCAGGACCCTGCACTCACTATATCTGGTCTCTCCGGACCCTTCATTCACTATATCTGGTCTCCCCGGACCCTGCATGCACTATATCTGGTCTCCCAGGACCCTGCATTCACTATATCTTGTCTCCCAGGACCCTGCAGTCACTATATCTGGTCTCCCCGGACCCTGGACTCACTATATCTGGTCTCCCCGGACCCTGGACTCACTATATCTGGTCTCCCACAGTACACACAACATGGGAGTGCAATTATATTAGTAAATATAAACTGCTAAATACCTTTTCTCATCAGCAGTTAGAGCAGTCTTCCGACTTCTATCAGTGTCCAGCTGAGCACTGGTTAAAGCTTGTAGAAAGAGTTTTTGTTCTGTTCTAGGAGGATGCAGAACCCCTGACCCTCTGTCTGGACAGCGTTGATTGGCCCTGTGCTGATCATATGCACTTTCCCAAGAGAAAAAAAAAAATCTTTCTAGAAATACAAACCAAACTAAGCATGTGCAGACTGACTCCACACGATATGTCTAGTGAAGAGATAAGAGGGGGGACTGGAAAAAAGGGGAGGATCAGGATTTTTAAACAATGCAGAGGATTAACCCCTTAGGTTCCACAGTGAGTATAACAAGCATGTTTTACTGCATATACAGACTGATTGTACTGTTGTGGGTTTAGTAACACTTTAAGAGGTGTAGATTCCTGGTGATGTCAGCAGTTCATAAGGATGTGATGGAGACAAGCACCCTCCGTTTCCTTGGGAACCAGTGACAGTGGGAAGCTGTCATATATAAAAATGATAGAAATACCTCTTCTAAATATGATACTCAGCTCCTGCTGAACAGGGTTGAATAGGCAAAGGTTTGGGCTGAACCTATGTCTTTGGCTCATTCCTAATACATTCGATACATAGAATACAAAATTCCACAAGACTCAAGAATCTATGAAAACATCTAATAGGGTAGATGTTTAAAAAAAAATTTTAATTCTCCTAAAATCTGCATCTTTAAAGCAGAACTTCACTTAAAAAAGGGAAGTTTTGCTTTGCTTCCTCTTCCCTCCCTCTACTGCTTTTGGATTTTTTTTCTTGGAGCAGTTCCTATTTCTGACAGGTATCAGCTCCACTTATTCCCCTCCCCCCACACGTCACAGGCCGCAAGAGGCTGCAGCTCCATTGCGCAGTGGAGAGTTGACAGTGAAGCACCAGGAGGTCACAACCGGCTTCCCACATCCAAGATGGCGGCACCGGGGACCCAAAGACCAGCAATGAACCGGCCCAACTAAGGACAGTGCTGGATCCCTGGACAGCTAAGTGTCAGTTTAATAAAGTCAGCAGCTACAGTATTTGTACCTGGCTGGCTCTGATGAACAAGGTATTTTCTTCGAAAACACGTCACCAAGATAGGATTACAGTGTGGTCCCCTGACCCATAGGGGTTTATTTACTAAAGCTGGAGAGTCCAAAATCAGACTCCCTTCTGCATAGAAACCAATCAGCTTCCAGGTTTCATTGCCAAAGTTTCATTGAACAAGCTGAGGTTAGAAGCTGATTGGTTTCTATGCAGAAGGGAGTCTGATTTTGGACTCTCCAGCTTTAGTAAATAAACCCCATGGAGTCTGCTGAGCTTGGGACTATTAGTCTGAAGAGCGATTTTAATTCACATGTTTATGAGCATTTTTTTATTTTTATATATCGTGGGATTATCACTAGGCTGGTACACCCTCTTTGTTTGATTCTTTGCAGTGGTTGTAGGACACCCCCAGTCCTAGAGGGAAGCAAGGCTGAAGCTACTTTCCGGAGATGAGGAGTTTGCATCATTACTTGCACCAAGCTATCGCACTTATGCGCAGGGAATTTTGTTTTTTTTTATAGTGGGGATTACAGGAAGGCATGGCAGCATACATCCCCACATGGAAGAAAAATATATTTGAAACATATTTTAAAAATAGTCTTCCCAAATATATTGACATATATTTGAAATGCTACAATTCCATATATTAAAAAAAAAAATTTTATATATATAAATATATATATACACACACACACTGTATGTTGAAATGCATTTTTACTACAAAATATATGAAAAATATTTTAAAGAATACATTTCAAATATACTGCAGAAACAATTGAGTACTGTCCGTGATACTTTTTTTATTTGCACTAACATACAATTTTGAGGACAAGCTTTCGGGGTATGTCCCCTTCTTCAAAGTCCAAGCAGTACTGCATGTTTTTAAAAATACAAATTTACATTTTTGGAATGCATTTACAAATATATGTAAAAATATATGTTAAAATTACTGTTTTATAGCTTAAAAACAATCTGAAAAATATGTTTAAAAAAAGTTTTTAAAATAGATATTTTTTTAAATAGATATTTTTTTAAATATATTCTTCAGATTTTTTTTAACATATAAAAAAGCCATTTTGACATTTATTTTTACATATATTTTTAAATGCATTCCAAAAATGTAGATTTGTATTTTTAAAGATATACAGTATATTTGAAATTTATTTTTAAAAATATTTTTTCATATATTTTGTAATAACGCATTTCAACATACAGTATGTGTGTATATCTATAGAGAGAGAGATTTTATATATATATATATATATATATATATATATACACACACACATATATACAGAGAGAGAGAATATGGCCAAAATTATAGCATTTGAAATATATGGTAATATATTTGGGAAGAATATTTTAAAACATATTTCAAATATATTCTTCTTCCATATTTGGTTCGCTAGGGCATGGGCCTCTGTTTTCACTATCAGGAAGGCGGTCCAGAGCAATGATTCACAGCTGATGCTGCAGAAAGTACACATGGACATGGAGTGGCAGAAAGAGGCTGGAGGAGATCAGCAGCACTGAGATGCAAAAAGGGATGGAAAATAGGTGAACAAAACAAAAACATCTACTTTGAAAAAAAAAGAAACAGGAATCTCGTTTTTTTCCCCAAACGTTCAACACTGGAAATATAAGCCTGTCCTCATAAAGTCATTGTTATATACTGTATGTCGAAGTGTCACCGATCGCATAGATTGGATTAGAACAGCACAACACAAGGAAACCTCAACCCTGCATGCAGCTCCTGCAAAGTATGCCACTGAGACCTTGACACTCATTGTTAATTAGACTGAGGTTTGATGGGTTCTCTTCGCTGGCTGATAGGAATTAGTGCTGCATAAATCTTAACCACTTGCCCTCCAGAGGATTTACCCCCTTTCCTGACCAAGCGTTACTTTAACTGACAATTGCGCGTTCATGCAACACTGCACCCAAATGAAATTTACATCCTCTGTTCCCCACAAACAGAGCTTTCTTTTGCTGATGTTTGATCGCCTCTGGGTTTTTTTTTTTTAATTTTTTGCGCTATAAACAAAAAAAGGCTGACAATTTTTAAAAGAAAACAATATATTTTTAACTTTCTGCTATTAAACATGTCCAGTAAAAAAAAATTTAAAAAAAAAAATCAAATTCGGTCATAAATTTAGGCCAAAATGTATTCTGCTACACGTCTTTGCTAAAAAAAAATCCCAATATGTATAAATGAATTGGTTTATGTGACAGTTATAGTGTCTACAAATGGCGGTATATATACTGGAATATATACTGGAATTTTTTGTTTTGTTCTTTTAACTAGTAATGGCAGCAATCAGCGGCTTATAGCGGGACTGTGGCGGGCATTCTGACACTGATGGGAACTGTATTGTTGTCACTGACATCCCCAGTGATCAGTGCTAATACAAAGCACTGACACTGTACTATTGGCACGGGGAAGGAAGGGGTTAACATATGGGGCGATCAAAGGGTAAACTGTTGTGTGCTGTTACTATGAGGGCTGTGTGTGTGTTGCCTATAAGCGTGCTTTGTATGGCTGTGCTATGCAGAGCCAAAGAAAGCAGTGTGCAGGAGCTGACAAGGGAGAAATCTGTATTGTTTACATACAGGACTCTTCTCAATCAGAAATCTTTGGAGATTGCCAGGTGCCAGCGGGGAACCACCGGCCAAGACCCGGTGATTGACAGCTCGTGCACGCCCCCTACCCGGAACTGTAAAATCGTGTATATACACGTGATTTTGCGCACCCGTGATCACATGCACTCTACCAAGAAAAAAAACACCAAAGTGAGCATGTGCAGTGTGACTCCACACAATATGTCTTATCAGGAGATAAGAGGGGGGCACTGGAAGAAGGGGAGGGTCAGAGAAGACAGGATCAAACAGCCTTTTTACACAATGCAGATGATTAACCCCTTAGGTACCGCAGTGAGCATACAAAGCATGCTTTATAGCATATACAGACTGATTTTACTGTTGTGGATTTAGTAACACTTGAAATCAATTCTAAAATCCATATTTACTTTTATTATTGAGTCCTTTTTTTTTATATATTATCTGCTTTCCAAAGTCCAAATACCTAGTCAATTTGTCCTGTCTCATGTGCGCTGCCCACAGTGTTGGGTAAGGTCCTGTAGGATCCAAAATGCAAAATGCTCCTTTCCATGTGCTCTGAACTACTTCAGCAGTATAAGTTGCAGGTCCTACCCCTTTTTGCACCCCCCTCCTCCTGAAGAACCCAATGTGGATGCCTCTTCTGGCCACCCCTCAGCCTGTCCCTGATTAACCAAATTCCTTTTCTTTTCTGTCAATGTTATCAACCGGTTCACACTCATAGTGGCATTGAGAGACTTACTCAGCACTACCTTCAGTGAGAGCAGCAGAACGCATGCTAAAGCACAGTGAGACGTCACTTCCCATAGTCAGCCTGTAACATCACAGACTGACACGCCCACGAACAATCACTGCCCCACCCCTAAGGGACTGTGCATGCAGAGTTGAATAGCAAAGTGACCATGTTTAAAGTTAGCAAAAAAGGCTAATTGCTAATTTTTTGTATTTATTAATGCTGTTGGCTTTCCATAATATATTTTAAACAAGAAGGGTTCACATATATTTTAATAAAATTTCATACTGAATCACCTAAAAATACTTTTTAAATAATAAAGTCCTAAACATAGTTAGAAAAATAT